AGGACAAGAAAATTTAAAAAATATAGGGGCTGAACCCTTATTTTTGTTATAGGAAAAGAAGAAAAGAAAAAAGTAGTAGTAGAAAAGAAAAGAAGTGTTGATTAGATAAAATTTTAAGGTCTTCTTTATTGGTTCAGGTTTTGAAATCTTTGAGGGTTCAATACAGCATTTAGCAATGTTTGTGTTGATTAAACCCTAACAAATTAGAAAATAATAAAAAGAAATTAGTATATAAACACACAAAATGAATATTTTAGTTTAATAATGCCTATTTTATAATTTTAATGTCAAAAAATACAGAATAAAAAATATTTTATAATAGAAAGTACAAAGCTGCTTGGCGATTAGGTGAGGCGAGCCTCAAAGGGCGCCTTGTCGCCTAGGCGTCGCCTTGACAACTATGCTTAGATCATTTGACGGGCTCCCCAGACATATTTATGTCAATGTCTCCTCCCTCCACGTCCCAAACTGTCACTTTAGTTGATGGCTCTTCTTCCTTTATTACTGGTATTGGTAATGCGTCTCTCGGTTCTGACCTTAATTTACAATATTTTTTATGTATCTAAGTTTCCCTTTAGTCTCTTATCTGTGAGTAAACTTACCCAAGCTCTTCATTGTTTAATAATCTTATATCCTTCTATCTATTGCATGGTATTTGTGGTAGATTCATCCCCGGCAAAGACCAAATTTACTCCCTTTTGGTCTTCACCAGCCCCTGGGTTCGTTAAACTGAATTTTGATGGTAGTAGTGAAGTTTACCCGGGGTCTTCTGGCATAGGTGGAGCCTTTAGAGATGAAGAAGGAAAAGTCATTGCTTTATATTCTGGTCATATTGGTGTTAGTGACTCACTCCGGGCTGAGATCTTGGCAAGTGATGCTAATGAAAAAAGATTGTTTAATCGGTTAGCACAAGCTTATTGTTGAAGGGGATTCAAAACTGGTTATTGGCTGGCTGAAAAGAAGATAGTGGTCTATGGAAGTATGCTAATGAAAAAAGATTGTTTAATCGGTTAGCACAAGATTTGCAAATTTAGTTAAAGTGGGTAAAGAGAAGTTCCAACTCCTTCGTGGATACTCTTGCTAAGCAAGGGGTGGGAAGGGAACAACTGTTTTGGGCTATGTTGTAATTTGCTTGTTGCTTTTCCTAGGGGAGGGTTAAGAGGGTTTACCTCTCCCCTTTGTACACTTTTTCTTGAATTTTTATTGAAAGTTTTCTGTTATTCATAAAAAACAGAGTGCAATTGAAGATGATCTGTTTATTGTTTATTCTCTATTCTTCTGAACATCATCATTCTTGAGTTTCTCTTGATTGGCATTCAATTATCATAGATTGATTTTTTAATGAGTAACTTGATAATATGATGTTAGTACGATGGATAGGAATTATAGGGTTTAGCTTTAGCACGCAATGCAACTATAAATCATTAAATCTAAAATATAAATTTATTATACCATAACCATATGCAGTATAAGAAATTGGAAAACCCCCTTCTCAAGCAAAAAAAAAAAAAAACTACTGGGCAAGAAATTGTTGCTGCACAAGAAAGCCCTTTCCACTTATTTGCTTGACAAATCAACCATAGAATTCATTTCTCTTTTAAAAACCAGCCAAGAGGTTGAACCACTGTTCTCTCCAGGTCAATGGGTCAGCTGTTCTCTCCCATTAACTCCTATGTTTCATATAAAAATTACAAGATTTATAACTTGATCATTAGGTTGAAAGATAACAAATCCACCAATATGCCATGTTTTATCAATTTGTCATGAATGGATTTTGTGAATTTTTACATTTATTCATTTTTTCTTCTTAGTCAATTCTTGTCAATAAATGTTAAAATATTGATTATTAAGAATTATATGAGCCGTTTGATAGTTGCTGGAGATTCTGAATCGAACAACTTATTGCTTTGCCTTTTGGTGGATGAAAATAATATTCCCAACTTCAGCTTCAACAATTATGGAGCCTACAAGGCCACAACCTCCTTAAAAACTTATTCAATAAAAGACAAATAAGCTTTTTAGTTCAGCCACTTTAATTCTTATAACATGGTACCTTATAAATTTAAACACATTTTTAAGAATTAAGATATATACACCATTATTTAATTCTTCCATCAATGTTTACCAAGTCTTTCCTGATGCTTTGCACTTAATATAAACTATTAAAGTATGCGTTTTTTAATGTTATATTTTTTGAGATTTATTTGTTTTTATAGCTGATCCATGAGTATCTTAATTTATCCCCATATCTAAAACAGATTGTAATATGAATCTTAAAGCTCAGGGATCAGCATATCCTACATATATTAGATATTTAGATTATCAGTGATCAGAATTCTGCAGTCGCTTAACTGATTATTAATTTTTTTTGGTAAAGCAAACAACTGTTTAAATGAAAGGAATAAGGAATTCCTGTGTAAGAATGGCTATATCCTTTTTTTAATCTGTATATAGATTCTGTGCTTTGTTAACAAACGAAAATGTATAGAGTTCTGGTAATCTAAATTCTATTTTTTCTTTTCTCTTTTCTATTAATCGTTCTTTTGGTCATTGGCTGACCTACCCGTAAAATACTCGATTTAATCAAGTATCTTTAGAAGATTCAGTAAAATGATTTTACGTCGTTGCTAACGTTATGACTTCTGATCAAATTCAGCTACTTAGAATCAATAAAAATTTCGATTTAGACCCAAATGACCCAACATGGCCCTCTAGTCATTTTCTAATGAAAGATTCCCTTGTTCATGTTTTCAGAACCGTTCATCCGGGTTGGGTTGGGAAGAGGGCTTATTCTGTAGCAACCGGTGTCATGTAGAATCATCCTCGATATGTTCTACATTTTAATTTTTTGCTACTAAATTACCTAAACAGTTTACTTTAATTACTTGTAAGTTTCGTACCCTCTCATTCCTAGGTTTTGCAAATATGCTAAGAAATAATACTTTAGGCTGCGTTTGTTTTTAGTGGAAAATTCATCCACTTAATGGATGGAAAATTCAATAAATGGGTTTAAAATTTTTAGTGGACTGGGTGTTTTTTTTTTTATGTGATAATTGATATAAATATATATGATTATTGATGGAAAAGTCAACCAATGGGAAGGTTTATATTGAAAATAAACGTGTGAAAATACATACTAGGAGTAGAGTTTTACATTGATCCGTATTTATACTGAAAACAAGAGTTTTACATTGATCCGTATTTATACTAAAAATAAATGTGTAAATGTGAACCGATGGTGGAGTTTTACATTTACACCAAAAACACCTTATGCATGAATTCATGAAGTAAGTTTATGTGATATTGTGATTCTATTTTTTATTTTTTGATTAAAGGAGAAAAATATGCAATTACGTTGATTTTTTTTTTTAGGGTAAGTGCAACCTTGCTGTTTGAAAATTGACTAACATTACCCCACTATTTTTGACAATTGACTAGCTCTACCCTTATCATTAACATCTGTTAATATTCCGTTAAAACCCATACAGACGTGACCTTTAAAATTTTTTAAAACCCAATACTACTCTTGTCCCTTCCTTTCGACCCGGCACACCCTTCCTCCTCTGACCTCTTTCTCTTCCTTCTATCTTCCTCCCACAGTCTCCATCAACACCAGATCACCGGAGAGAACTGCACCATATCCACACCGTATGCACAGGACAAAGCCACAGTCTCAGACATTAAACATTGGCTTTGTCCTGTGTATTGAGATGCCTCATGCTCGCAATCACTTTGCACATGGGATGAGAAAGATGAATCACCAATGTGCTACACCTAACAAAATTTGGGAAGCTCATTTGAAACTGAAGGATGAATACAAGGAGGGTGAAAGAAAATTCCAGGATATGGTATATTCTTTCGAGCTAATGCATCCTTACGTTTATGAACCATCTCTAAATTCATTCTTTGAATTTCACTAGAAATGTGTTGTCGAGAGGGCTCAAACACACAAAAGAGCACTTTATCCTCTTTCTTCTTTAATAATGGAGGTGCTTTGTTGAAGAAGTAGAGAATGAGTGAATTGAATAGGGGCGGCGACGGTAGCAACGGAAGTGGTATGAGCAAACTGAATAGGGGCGACGATGGCGAAAGTCCGATCTTTCTCTCTCTCTTCTTCCTCCAAGCAACGATGGCAATGACAACCCCCTCTAAAGTCTGATCTTTCTCTCTCCTTCCTCTGGGCGAGGACAGTAAAAACCCCTCTAAAGTTCGATCTTTCTTTCTCTCTCTCTTCTTCCTCTAATCGACAGCAGTGGTAACCCCTTTGAAGTCCGATCTCTCTCTCTCTCTCTCTCTCTCTCTTCTTCCTTTGGGTGACGATAGCATCGACAACCCCTTTGGAGTCCGATCTTTCTTTCTCTCTCTTCTTCCTCTGGGCGATGGCGGCAACATTCACCTCTGAACTCCAATCTCTCTCTTCTTCCTCTGGGCGAGGACAACAATATTTGCCTCTGAACTCTAATATCTCTGTTCTTCCTTTGGGCGACAATGGCAGCACTGCCTTGTAACTCCACCCAGTGGTGGGAGTTGCAGGGTTGTCTTAGAACTCTATTTTTTAAGTTGCAAGGCAATTTAGGCATTTTGCACAGGTTTTGACAGAAGTTAAGGGTAAGAATAGAGTTAATCAATTGTAAAAAGGGTAGAGAGTAGCCTCAATCAATTTTCAAACAGTAAGGGTATGGTTAGTCAATTAGATAAATTATATGGGTAGTTTAAAAAATTTACCCTTTTTTTTACGGGATCGCCCCTCCCCGAAACCCCAATACTCTCGACCCCATTGACGACGGCGGGATTGAATCCCAAAATTCCAAATCCCCGCTACGACCAGCCAAGGACATTGTTGCTGGAAGTGGAACGTGGAAGACGATAGGGTTGGGAATGTAGGAATTTGGGGTGGGCCGCTCTCTCTTGTCTAGTCTATTCGCCTTTGAAAAAAATAAAGTTTTCCTTATTTCTTATAAAGTAGATGATAGTTGACGAACCGTCACCATGATTATGGAGAAAAGACAAATTAGGGCTTAAATTTTTATTAATGCTTTATTAGGTAGTCTTTTCAAATGTTCATGTAGTCTTTTTGCATTTACCAAAGTGAATTTGCAGGGTCCAACTGTTCAAGTCATACGAGAATCAAGCAAATGTAGAGATATATACTACACACGTACACGATAAGTTTCGTGAGATTTAGCTTTAGGACCTAAAATTAATAACTTCAGAAAAAGGGAGACAAAGAATCACATGCAAGAAGCAAAGGTTTTCTTTGCATGATTGCATGCCTTATGACGTTGAAGCTTCCCCTTCCAAACGTATCCTCTTAGGACCCTTCTCCTCACCTTGGCTGTAGGCATTTGCCACTCTGTTCTCTTTGGCTTCAACTGAACACCTTTTATAAGGTTTAAATCCTGTCCTCCGAGACTTGAGCTTTGCATGTCCAAGCTCGGTAATGAGAAGTCCTGTCTCAGTAGTACTGCCGCTGCTTATCAGTAACTCGTTCTTTTTCGTCCCTGGACGTTCCGGAGAAGCCTCCCATGTCTTACAGCACAGGTCTAACTGCAACTTGTCATCTTTATCTTTCTCGTCCGACTTCTGCTTTTCTTTTTCATTGGTGCATTTTGGAGGTTCTTTGCTATCATGTGGTGGTGAAAAGCTCTGCGGCAGCACTTCTCTGGAGAATAGTGCTTGAAAGGCTAGCCGTCCCTAACGAAGTGAGAAGAAAAAAAATCATAATAAGCGGAGAAGATATGAGCATTGAAAATGAATACAATAAAAATGCCATTTTTAAAGAAACCATCCAATCACTACCTCCTCCGAGACCTCCTTCCAGGATTCATTCGTGTTGCTGGTGTTTCTACTGCGACGATTATTAGGCTCTGCAGATGGATGGCTTAAATCTGGTTCTTTTGAATCTTCCTCTTCTTTCTCATGCTTTTTCAATGCATCTGTCTCTACTTCACTGCCAGACGGTGTATTAGAGCCACATGAAGAACGATCAACTTGTTTTCTGGTCTTTATCTTGGAGTCAAGGAACCCATTGACCAGTACTGGCTTCTGCACCTGGACTTTTAACTCGTTGTTTGACCTTACACCACCACTCTCAGAGTCGGAAGATGACAGAGGTGGTGATTTGGAATCTAAGCGTCGTGTTTCCAAAGCCTCAGAGAATTCTGGATCCAGCTGTTGATCTTTCCATGGAGGATCTTGAAGAGTATTTTCCATTTTTTCTTTGTTGATAACCGGAGGTTGGACAGTATCTGTCGATGGGGTTGCAGCTGTGTATGGAGGAATGCATGTAAACCCAGGGTGAAGAGGAGGGCACAGAGGCAGCAATCCATGGGCTGCCCACCATGCAGAAGCAGCTGCCACTGTAGCAGCAGCAATTGCTGCCAAACTAGGAGATGGGCTCATGTGCCTGGCTTGAAATTCTCCAACAGTACCAGGAGATTCCAGAGGAGCATCGGCATTGGTGCAGGGCCAGAATGATGCCGCAAGGCTTGCTGCAGCATGAGCTGCTGGGTTTTGCAGCAAAGTAGATACAACAAGGCTTGAAAAAGTGGAGGAGATGTTGATAAACGACCGGTAACTATCCTGGTTGTTGCAGAGTGGGGTGAAGGGAGGCGGAAAAGTAGGCAATGGTTGATGAAAGGAAGACCTTGAGGCATTGCTTTGATGTTCATTAATTATAGAGGCCGTTGGATCCATGAACTTTGGATTTCCATGAGCTCCTCCCACTTGATGAATGACAGATGCTGGATTTCCATGAATTCCTCCCAATTGATGAATGATAAATGCTGGATACGTCATGTCAGGGGACGGAATTTGCATGCATGGTCCTGAGATTCCATCCACAACATGCACGGGCACATGCCTTGGGTAGTTTTGATTGGTCTGCATCTCATTTTTTGACTGTGGATCAAGTTTTTCTGACTCCTTTCGTCCATCTTTCCTCTCTCCTTTTACCTGTTGATCTTCTGAATTTAGGCAGGATTCCCCCGAGTTTGGAGGCTCACTTACACCATTAAGGTCTGTATGGTCTGCATCTGCTGTGCCCGGTTTTTTATTCTTTTTGGCTTTGACAGTCAAATATGATTCTTCTATTACACCCCGGTCTTTCATCTCTTTCATTGAAGGCGTAGACTCCCTTAGGGTACATGGTTGACTGAGAACCAGAGGTGCTGCTATGGAACTTTTGCTTGATGAAGTCATTGAAACACAAGGAGCCTCTTGAAAAAGCGTAATCATTTCTGAGAAATTTTCTTCATTCATAGTTTCTTTTGATCTAGCTGATTTTTCAGCTTCAGCAGCTCCCTGATGAACATGCCATGACAAAAATAAAAAAAAAAACAGTTATGAAATTAAAGAAGAAAATGTAACAAAAACTGGAGACAATAAAGAATTGAGGTATAACCTCTGGTTGCGGGTCACTCTCCAAGTCCAGCATTTGTTTACCAGGGTACAAAGAAGATCCTGACGTCAATTGTTTTGGATCTTTAACTCCAGCTGGAGAGGATGTAGGTGCACCTGTACCAGTTTTCCGAGGGTATGGATTGCTTGGCTTCCTTTTAGGGCGTGGAGGAGGTATATCTATGTCAATAGCTTGCCCTAGAGGTATGCCTTTAGAAAGAGCCTCTTTTTCTAACTGTAGGAAAGTGTTTGTTAACAGTGGAGCTTCATTTACTATTCAATTACAAATAGATGGAGATAAGAAAGTTGATAATTACTGGATATGTGCACATATATTAGTGTCCTATGCATGTACAAATGATTTAGGAACTATCACAATAATCTGAATGAGAAAAGATAACTGACTTTGATATTGACATATATAGACAACAGATAACCTGCTCATAACCATATCCAATAACATCTTTTCTTTTTCTACTTTTTTTTTTGAACAAAAACCTTATGTGCTCTTCAGCTAATCAAACTACCCTTTAAATCAAAGAACTAGTTATCAAGTAATCTTGAGTAACAAGGAGATATATCTCTTGATCAATGCCAATCTAACAGAGATTATTAAGAAATGACGAATATGTTATTTATTACCAGTATATGAACTCACTAATAAAACCAGTAGGCCACATTAAATATAAGAACAAGAAGGCTCATGTATACATTAAACTATATTACTTTCTTAAATGTAAAGGCAATTGCATGTATGGATGAATCAAATGTTACTTTAATTGTGCAGAATTAATATGGTAGAACTATAACTTGCCTTTTGGTCTAGACTAACAAATTACTTGAGCAAGGAAACCTTTTATAGGTGGGTTATTCTTTTCTCATTCCTAAACAAGTTTCTCTTTTTTTGTCACATGGAAATATGGAATGATGAGTCCATATCATTGACAAGTTAGGTGACCATCTGAATTGCTCAAGCCCTTGTCAACACCAGCTATGTATGACCAGCCCTTGTCATACAATAAAGATGTTAAAGAAAAGGATGGCATGAAAGACACATTAGAAATACTAGACATTGATGATGTAGTACCATTAGCAAGGGCAACAGATTGGGATTCCAATAATGAGATGAGGAAAACACACATTGGAGATCTAGTCATATAACCAAAAGCCTTGGAATTAATGACCTAAGTGGAAGGTTGGGACCTTTGAGAAGACAGACAAGCCATACCTGTCCTGGGTAAAGTGACAATGTTATTGGAGGGAACAGACTAGAGCATTAGATACGTCATCTCTTTCCCTATAGTAGTACCAGAGGTAGGCACTATAGTATTTGACTATGGATCCATGTTAGCAACTGCATCCTTAGATAGCGTGCCATGATTTGCCAAATTGGAAGGTGGACCATAAAGATCATAACAAAAAATAATTGTATACCCATGAAGGCCACAATAGGTGCATTTCCTAGGACCACCACACCCCCTCTTCTACGACTTCTGCTATCTCTCAGTCACCATGTCCAACTACCATTTTTGGAGTAGCATGTCTTCATGTTACCACATCCCATGTTTTCAACCTACCGTTGACCCAAATAGTCAAACTATTTGAACCGTCACCTAGTCCAATTTCCGGGTATGATTTTCCTAATATTCGGAATTGACCAAAAATCATTTGACCTAGGCGGTTGATCCATTAACCAGTTCAACCTAGTCATTGGGTCACAAGTTATATACTAAAACATATTGAAACTTCCAAGGGCCATAACTTTGTGCTTGGTTATTGGATTGGGGTGATTTTTTTTTTTTTTTTTAATTTTTCAAGATCTACATGTTTCCAAGGTGCCTTTCCCCACTATTTTTGCCAAAAAACCCACTATATTAGGGCAACCCAACTTAATAATAAAAAAGAATAGAAGTTCAAGTTTGCCACTGTGGCACAAAGAATAGAAAAAACATAGAAAAAATAACATAAAAGCTAACTGATTTTAACAAAAACCATATGTATACATATTTTACATGTAGAAAAGAATTATGCATTATTTTATTGATATGTACATATTTTAAAACATTGATATATGCATATTTCATACATGCCACGGTCTGACCCAAAATCTAGAGGAAAAAACAGTTGAGCCTCTGTGTCAATTTTTAAAACATTGACCACATCCACCCCTCATGTTCTACATCCTCCACCTTACCTTTAGTAACTACAAGAGTAGAATGATCCACTATTAAGGGGTCAATCCTTGTATGTTATGGAAATAGTCTAGAGAAAATCTCAACTAAGGGAAGAAGGCCACTACCTAGGATTTTGGCATGAAAAGGTTTTATATTCTAGCTTGAGTCTGGATATCGATTGGGCTACATCCAACTATTCTCTTTGTTGTTGCTGTATTTTTGAATCAACTATAATGGGTTGGTGAACATTTAAGTCACTCCAAAGATTTTGGAGGGTAGCATTGTTAGTCCTAGATACTTTTGTCACCTTGTTGAAGTGAAATAATTTTGGTATAATTATTGATAAAAAAGGTCTTGATACAACTGAATATTGATATACCTTACTAACATTGTTCCATCCAGAATATAGCCATTGTACATGTTTCTACATCTCTTTTGTTATGTCCAAAACATAAGATTGATGTTTATTTTAGTGTCCATACTATTCCACAGCCATGTTATAATTTGGGCATTTGCTTGGATCTCCTTAGTGTATCCACTAGAACCAAGTAATGGCTGAGGATCAAGAATATATTGGAGTTTCCTTTTTGTTGTTAGGGCAACTTCTATAGACTTGTCCCAATGAACATAGCTCTCACCATTCAGTTTGATTTAAGTCATTTGAATAATAAAATAGTTTGGTGTTATCATCAGTCCAGGTTTTGGTTCATCATTGGAAGAAGCTATTTTACTTCATTATATTGACCTCTAACAATCTGAACACCAACTTATTTCAAGGACTAGTCCAAGAAACCTGGAAGAATAGAAAAACTGTAGAAACCTTGCAGTATGATTAAGATTTAATAAAAAGTAGAAGAAAAAGGATTTAGACCAATAAGAGAAAAGAGAAGAAGAGAGGGTTTGGAGAAGAAGGATCTTGGCAGTCTCCCAGCCTCCTAATTGTATTTCCTTAGATCTAAACACAATTAATAGTAGAATTACAAGAATTCCCCCAATAGGGTGGTGGTAAGAGTAAACACATAAAATGAATTTTAGGCCAATTACACCTAAGGCCCATTAGTGTAATAAAATAAGGAAAAGATAAAGAACTGAAAGGCTTCATATCCCAATAGCTCAACACTCCCCCTCAACCTGAGCATAGATGTCAATCATGCCCAGGTTGCTAATATACTATTGCAATTTGGGCTTTGGAACTCCCTTAGTCAATACATTGGCTAGTTGTTCCTTAGATGTAATGATTGGTGGACAAACTTATTTAGATGCAACTCTCTCCTATATATAGTGTCTATCTACCTCAATCGTTATGTTACATCATGTTAAATAGGATTACTTGTTTTAAAAATAAATAAAAATGAAAAATTTATTAAAAGGGCAAATTTCTTAAAGTACCCTTATGGTTTAGCTAATTGACTAACTCTACCCTTACTATTTACATATTGTCTTAAAGTACCCCTACTATTTCTAACAATTGACATTGTTGTTAAGTGCTAATGAAAAAAATGAAATGTCGAATTTTCCCTCCACTATTCCTCAAATTTTCAAAATAAAACCCAACTAATGAAAATTTTTCCCTCCTCCCATCGGTCACCGACGCCACCAACTACTACCGCCACCACTAACAGAGCTCCCTCTCCTCCTTTCTCTCTCCAATTGGTGAAGTTCCCAGTCAAAGTTAACAACCAAGGATAACATGATCCGAATAGTGTTCATTTTAGCAAATGGGGCAAATGTTTCTGTATAGTCAACTCCACACGTGTGTGTACCCTTTTGCAACTAACCTAGCCCTATATGTCTCAACTGTCCCATCTGTTTTGTGCTTTATTGTGAATACTCATTTACATCCCACTGGTTTCTTGCCTTTAGGAAGATCCACTAACTCCTAGGCGTTGATTTTTATGCAGAGCACAAATTTCTTCATTGCATTTGTCCATTCAGATATAGATAAGGCTTTTGCAACACTTTTGGGAATGGAAACACAATCAATGACAGTTAGAAAAAACACAAAATGAGAGTGAGATGTTTTCATAGGACAAAAAGTGGGTAATGAGGTGCTTAGTAGTACATGATCTAACACCCTTCCTGTGAGCAATTGGGACATCAAGATTATTGGTAGAATCATCAATAGCAATAGGTTTAGTGACATCAAGGGGAACAAGGGTACCTGGGTTCTCCTCTAAGGGGTCAGATGATGTTGGATGTATAGTTTCTGGTTGCTCCACACCCTTTGAACTTAGCTGTCCCTTACGGTGCCTCAGGAAAACACTGAATGGTGACGAGTCAGGAATAAAAGGGAGAGAAACCTGAGGAACTTGCCTCTCCACACTATTCTCCTCCTAAGTAGAGGCCTAGAAGAAAGATTTAGACTCAAAAAAGGGCACATCCATTGATACAAAGTACTTGTGTGTGACAGGATTAAACATTAAAGCATGTGTAGTCCTTTTAGGAAGATGGACCAAAAAAATACAAGGAATAGACTTGGGGTCCAACTTACCCCGGTTGGGAGATAAGTCATGAACAAAGCACTTACAGCCAAACACACATAAAGGGATAGAAAATATAGGAGATTGAGGAAAAAGGAGTTGATGTTGGGCCTTGTATTTTAAGAGACGTGATGGCATACGATTGACAACATAAGCCATGACCATCATAGCATCAACCCAGAATCATTTGGGAACATTAATGCGTAGCATCATACTACGGGTAACTTCGAGAAGATGTCGATTATTCGTTTCAGCAACACCATTTTGTTGTGGTGTTTTGGCACAAGAGCTTCTATGAAGAGATCGATGAGATGAAAAAAAAATCAGCTAAATCATGATGAAAGTATTATTTCACATTATCTGATTAGAAAATTTGAACTTCAACATGGAATTGAGTAAAAACTATGTGGTGGAAGTCTTCCACAATTCTAGGTACCTCTTCTCTAGAACACATAGGATATATCTAAGTGTATCTGGAATAATCATCAATGAAGTTGATAAAAATACTTGTACCTACCCTTAGTGGGTATGTTCACTAGGCCCCAAACATCATAAAAGACATGGAAAGGCAAAACAGATCT